AATTTATCTGGACAGAAGATACACTGATATTCAAATTAAAAATAACCATTTGTCTAAGTTTTCTCCAGATGCTGTAATCACTGGCTGCAAGCAGTAAGATGTGAGCTTCTCTGTCTTAGCTGTTTAAGGAAAAAAAAACCCAAACCTTTGTGCTTACTGTTATCATTTTGGGTACTTCAACATTTAATAAAAAGTACTTGTTTTGCAAACCTGCTTTTCTGAGACATTACTGAAAAACCAGTCCAATGCATAGCAGCTGAGAAAACAAAGTTATTTGTCTCAGATAGTACTGATCAGAAAATGATGTGGAAGAAAAACATCCTGACAAAAGCTCATTTTCTATTTCATAGAACAACTAAACACTCTACCCATAGTCTCTCCACGAACAGAAGAATAAGATAACACTTTTAACAGTAAACCACTAAGCTAAAAGTTAACTACAAAGACAAGAACACATTTCAAAACATGCTTCTAAGACCTCAAGATTCGCTTTGCTTTTAAATGCGGCATTTCTGCTTCTTCTACGTTTTTTTCTTACAGAAATGATCAACAACAGGACTTTGTACAACACAACATGCACGTGTGTCACCTAGGCACAATCTGCTGTTCCACAAGAGATTATCAATCTTCCTACTACATGCACTGGTAAAAACAGACTTAGTACCATGTAAAACAGTAACATGAAGTATGAATGCAAGCACATATGGTGTCGCACACTTTGTTTACTTACTAAGTAGTGAGGTGAATTAGAGCAGATTAGTAGAACAAACCATTTGATGCCAGCATTCTTTACCTCTTCCATTACAAGGTTTTTGAGATTTATTTTAGACAAGATTTAGCCTTGTTCACTGGGCCAAAAACGCAGCTCGAAGTTTTCTCACAGAAAGCTGTCCTACAGGTCTTTGCTCCCTTGACTGAAGGGACTTTCTCCTCTAGGAAGTGTCATGCTGTTCCTTTCATGTTTTCATGCAGATGACAGTAGCATGTCAGTTCACATATGACCAGTAGGCTCCACCATAAAGTTTCTAAATCTCCCGTCTCATGTATCTCTGGTCACAGAACCAAAACATATGCCAGAACCCTCTTGCCAAGAACAGACAGGATCATTCATGATGTCCTCAATGCCAATGAGCACCATGGGAGATCCTGCACACCCCTGCACTCCATACCATAAGGTATGCTCTGATAATGGTGCAGCAGAGGCCTAATTTAATTGTGCTTTCACTGAATGCTTAACAGAACCACAATCTACATTTAGTCACGTGAAAGACACTGTGGGACAGACTCTGTGAAAATGTTTCCAATACCTTCCAAATTCAGGGCACCACATTTAGTCAGAACCATCTGTGAGGACATCTTTGAGACCTTCCTTCAGAATGAAACACTGAGCACAACTTCTGCACACCTGTACCTGTGCACACAGTTCTCTGCTCTTTGCCATAGGTGGGGCATCCAGCAACGCACTTGTGCCAGGACCTTGTTCCTCTACTGAGGACAGTCACCAGGGCACTGACCATTCAGGAGTGCACAGAGTGGGAGGGAAGAATACCACTGGACACGAACATCTTTCAGTCTGGCAAATGGCGAAAAAGGAACTGATTCTCAATACTTCTCTCTGTCCTCAGTTCTCACCTCCTCCACACTTGTGTGCTTCAAACGCTTCCTTGCTGCATTCAATCCATTTGTTTTGGGTAAACCTGGCTAATTCAGCTATGGCTTACCCCAGCCCACAGTGCCTTTCCCTTTAGGACCTTTCCTGAGTGTGACTTGGGGCAGAAGATGAGACGATACATTGCCAACCATCACTACCTTAATCACTGCATTTCAAAGAAATGGTATCATCCTGAACAGTACCTGTGGCACAAGCAGCTGGTTGCAAGGCAGGGACAGGATCTGACATGGCCACAAGTACCAGCACCAGTACCACCACTGGGTAGGTCCTTTACACACTGCGTTTGGGTAGAGGAAGGGACAGTGTGGCTGGGGCTTTGGGCAGGAGCCTGGGAGGGCTGTGTTACCAAGCCGTGCCATGCCCACAGCCTGTGCGGTTTCCAGGACCGTGCCTCCCACACAGGCAGAACTGGGATGGAGCAGGTGGCCTCTCAGGGAGCTTGTTGCTCCACAGAACTTCCCCCACAGCTCAGGGCCTCTGGGGAACCATCTCTTGAGGTACAGCAGCTCTCACAGTCAACCCTAAGACTTACACAGCTCTGCAACCAGTGCCCTAATTCTACCAGAAGCTTCTTGAATAGTCCCACACTCAATATGTGTATAGGAAAAGAGTGCACACACTTACTCAGGTGGGATCTGGACCACTGATTTTGCAGTTCCCATTGCCTGCTGTGGGAGACAGGATGTTCCTGCATGTTGTCTTGCAGGGGTCATCTGGGGGTTGCAGTAATGTAGATGTGTGCAGCACTATTGCCATACTCTTCCCTGGACTTTTCTCCCAGAGTGTTGATCTAGGGACTAAGGGTGTGGATATCCTCATAAGCAGCTGGCTTAGGTGGAGTGCTCTCCCCACACCTGATGATCTGTTCCAAGATCTCCACAGCAGCAGCACATGCACCATGTCAGCTCTGAAGTTTGGTTTTGCCACCTCATCAAGACCATGGTCTTCATCTACTTGAAATGAATGCAGCACTGGTTGTCAGTCCTCTCCCACTTGGCAGCAGGCTTGACATTAGAACAGGGTGGTGCATCTGCTTGAGAAACTTTTGGGCCATTCAGAGCACAGGCTGTCAATCTCCATGTTGCGCCTTGCTCAACAGTCTGAGGTGCCAATGCGATGGTGGTTACTGTTGCAGCAGCAGGAAAGGAAGAATAATAAGGAAAAGCAAAACTAATAGGGCAGGTGAAGACGACAGAAGCAGAAGTCTGGGAGAAGTAAAGGAGCAGCTGAAAGAAAGCAACAAGCAGACGTGTTTCTCATTAGCAAATATGAAGTTGCACATAGCATTTGGCCCTTTTGCATAGCATGGGAAGTACTTCAGAATAAGGTTGGAGCTCTTAACAGTTTTAAGGCTTTCTGTTGGCATATCAACGTTTCATTTATTCAAGAAAACTTCACAGGAGTGCAGTCTCATTGGATCCTACCCTTTTATTCCAAGTGGCAAAGCTTCTGTCTTAGCTTTCCCCGTAAATATATCATTCATATGTCTAAAACCACTCTGTGAATGAAATCAATAAGCAAGGACAATCAGAGGACTTCTTTCAGAACTGCACTACTGCTGTGATTTCAAATATCATGTAGACACACCCCTAATGGTATATAAGCATATAATGGTATAAAAGCATATAATGCTTTTCTGGACTTGAGGATTCTTGACCCGCTTCAAGATGTATCTTCTGCTTGTAATAATCTTGCTTATAAGTTTATAAAGAGAGTGAACTTCAAGAAGTAAAGTATACTTCTGACTTACAAAACAGGATGCAGTAAGCCATAGGCAGTTCTGATACAGTTGCATCCAAAAAATTTTGGAGGCAACCTCACCTTACTACAAGTGTCCACACTTCTTCAGTACCTCCAGGATTCAGAAACATATTTACTCAAAATTCAGGCACAATCCCAGCACCAGCTAACCACCAACAGCAATGTGTAAGTTCATAAAAGTGAAAGATGTCTCAACAAATACCAACTTAACTGCTTGTGCAAACACTAAAGGATTGTTTTGATAATGCTTGTTTCTGAAAACAGTAATGATCCACTTCTGTTCTGGTATGCTCATCTTCAGTTGTATAATGTAATAGCAGGAAGATGGAGAAGGTTTAAATTGTAATACCCATTTCCTTATGCAGAACTTCTGCACCTATGAGGCTCTGTAAAACAGTACAGTTCCACCACAAAACGCTGACACCCCATCTCCAGAAGCACTGAGTACAGATGGTGGTCCAACAATTGCTGTATTCACAATGTCATCAAAGCTCATTTCATGTGCTTTTTCATGCCTTCAGTACGCAGTACATTCACTATCCCCTTGCAGTTCCTGGATGCTTTGGCTTACTGCTGGATTTCCCTTAACAGTTCACATGATTCTAATTACCATCACAAATAACAGGGGCAATCAGCATGTCAGGATGGCAGAGCTAGAACAACTTCTTCCTCTAGGATTGTTGAAAAAGACAGAACAATTACCAAGTGGATGTTGTGCTGCACAGTGTTGGAGGAGTTGGGATATACCCAGAATTCCTAATGTCACGTGAATGCAGACAACCAAGTCTCAGCATGCTGAAGAGCTAACAATGTCAGTGCTTTTACATAAACTGTCTTTCACTATTACTGATGGATACTGGATTCACTCCCTGAGGAACGGTTCAAGCAACACCCTATCTTCTTGCCTGGTGCTTAGAGAATCAACAATAACTTCTGAAAAATAACAACGTAAGGCAGCGTTGTGTGCTTTTTTGAGCCAAACCAACATTAGGATGCAACAGGTCACTCTAATCGTACTAGTCTTCTCTCCACCTCATTGAGTTTCATCTCCCAAGGAGAAGGACTAAGCCTTGAACATCATCCGAGTCAGGTTTCAGGAGCCTTTAGTGGTAGAGGGAGGAAAGACGAGAAAAGCCTCCTTCAAAGTTCTGGCTCCAACTGCAGAGCTCCCAATTGCCTGCAACTCAGATCCAGTGAGAATCTGTCATCTCCAGACACACAGAACACATCACCCTGTCCCAGTTCCATTATGGAAGATGGTCTAATGGCCTATGGCTGAAGCCTCAGCACCACAGGTACACTCCACTATCTGCTCTTTCTAGGTCTCTTGTTCTGGAGTTCCTTCCCCTGCTGACCATCACTCATCACAGAGATGAAGTAGACAAGTTTGAAGGATAGTGAAAGAAGTTTTTCTTCAGAATTACTGTAACAGACAGGAGAGTATAAACACTGAAGATATACACACAATTTAAACATATGTGACATGAAGAATAGACAGACATAAAGGGATCATCAACTGGAGGAGACGCTGCCTTTTCAGAGGCTGGCTGTTTAGAATGCATCATACCTCATACAAAACTGTAGTATTCCCATGAAGAAGAGGCCCATAGCAAATGTAGGAATGACCAACAACCCAGCCTAAATCAGAAGCTGCCCACCACACCTAAAATGAAATAAAAACATAAATATAGGGAGAAGACTTAAGAGGAGTTCAAAAACATTTACATGACATTTAAACAGAATTACCTCACCAGGTTTGAGTCCATATACAGCTGACATTGTCCAGTTCAGCATAACTGCATAGCCACCTGTTGGTCTGACAACACCCTAAATGAGAAAATTGAATACTTAAGATCATTTGAAGGATGTGAAGATATTCCTGTCTGCAATGAAATTTTGAGGTTTTAGAAGCAACAGACTTAAAGTTATCTACTTCCAATACTCCTCACTTAAGAAAAATATCCATTCCAACAAGGATATGCTCATGCTAGCATTCCCACTAAAGAAGTAATTTTGGAAAGCAAACACATAAACAATAAAACAAATACAGAAACCCAAGCCAAGGCCAAGATGACAATAGTTTTCAGAAGATAACTAACTAAACTAGAATTCCGTCACTAAAATCAGATATGCAAATATTTAGTCATCATATGCTGACAAACAAATCAGAGGTTGAGCATTTACCTCATTTAAATTGTGGCCATCTAAATGATAGGCACGTTTTAAATTCATTGCATAGTCTCTCCGTATCATCACTGGAAAAGACAAGCACTTGTGAAGTAGCTGATCCCTAAAGTAAGTGGGGTGAATTACTTCCTGAAATGTCACCCTCTTTCTGAAGTGACTCTTTTTAAAGATGTCAGAAAATTGGCTTAAACCAGATATCTATTTTTGAAAGGTTTAGTATCTAGCCCAAAGTACGCATAAGAATGCAAACCAAAGAATGTCAAGAATATCTCAGTCTTAGTCTAAAAGAAGGATTTAAAAATTAGAATAAGAGAGTATCAACAGCATTATGCCCCTTGGTAAGACAAAAAACAACTCTGGAACACCATTAATAAGAAAAAAATTGAAAACATTTGTATTATTTTTATGCTTAATATATATTTCATCATCTTCTAATTGTTTCTACAAGAATTGAGTATGTCCATTAAACTAGGCCCTGATGTCCTGAACTGAAATTCAGATGAGATTCATTTGACCAAACAAATGTCTACAGTGCATACATTACAATGCATCTGTCTGTGCTAGGCATGGTACATTCTTTTAAGGTAGTTAATAGAATGAAATAGGCACTTTCAGGCCTTGCCCAAGAAATGAGAGACTGTAGAGACATGTTAACTCATCAAAATGGAGACTGTCACAGCAGAGAATGGTTAACTAACACTTCACAAATTTCAGAAGGGGGACTGCCTTTGTTCATTTCAGCTTCTAACTTAGTCTGTCCTCTGAGGTTAACAAAAAATTTGTTACGAAAGTCAAAACTGAGTAATTTTACTTGCATGACCAATTGAAAGCAAGTTTAAAGTTCACATTGTAGCTTAGTGCTAGTTGACAATCTCTCTTTTATAAGGGGTGATTCATTCAGCGTGCCTGTATTTTCCTCTGGAGAGCCAAGCAGGGAAGCAAACTTGTAAGAGCGCTATCTCTGAGATACTATATTTAGAAACTTTCAGTTAAGGAAAATAGTTCTTGTAACAACAGATTTTATCTTGGACTCTTTGACAATATAATTAAATAAATCAAGATACATATGTTCCTTTAACATGTCCGCATTCAAGGCAAAAGCAAAAGATATTTTTCTCAGCAAAACTGATGTTTTCTCTTACCTCCCCACAGATTCTGAACTTTACAGGCCACATCATTAAATAATTTTCTAGTAGTAGCCTAAGCAACCACATATGCAGAGATGTGTGATATTGTCTCTGAATTTGTGGCTGGAAAATCACCGCCAGAAAATTATATTATTCAGTTTGCCCTTTATACTTCAAAAGAAATTGTAAGCATTTGCTGAAGTTTGCTTTTAAAATAATATCTTTTAAAAATAGACTGTTAAGACCGACATTTGAAAGAAAACATTTTCAAAGAATGCCCTCTGTCAGTTTTCACTTAATCTAAACTTTCATTTCCATTGGAATGATATTATTAGAACTGTTCAGGAACACAAGCCTTCAGAACATGCTTGATTCCATTTAACCCGTAATGTTATTCACTACATCTTACCTATGGGAAGATAATCTACTATGTAAATAATGAATAAGCAAAGACTATGCAGCAATAAATGCTATCATACAAGTGATGTATTAACTAACCTTACCATTAAGTTATTATATTATGCTTATTTAAAACAGTTAAAACACAGAAGATATTAAAGAATAAAAGACATTCTGCTGTCCTCTGAAGTCTATACTGTACAAACATTTTTAAGTAAACACAGTTTGTCTTTATAGTACTACTATTTAAATAAACATGATTTATTCCTATATACTTTAGAGTCATGAAATGTGAATAAATGAGATTAAACCATTTCTAACAATGCTTATCATTTATAGCACTGAGCTCTGACAGATACTTTCAACCTTTTTAATTAAATATTTTCTCAAGTGGAACTGCAAATAAGTTGGTCACAGACACTTAAGAGCACAGATAGTCCTTTACCTTGGGCAAGCCTGTTGTTCCAGACGTATACAGAATATAAAGTGGATGGTCTGAGGGAACAGAGACACATTCATAACACTGTGCTTTTGCAAGCTCTTCTTCCCAGTCAAGATCACGACCTGGGACAAGAGGAACATGGCCCTGCCATTTTAAAACAGAAAATTGTTGGTAGAAAAACAGATGGAGTAAGTGGAATTGAGTCAAAAAACATGTATTATTCATTTTTCTGTACTGTACTATTCAATTTTTTATACAGTAATCTCTCTGTTGCATTAATTTTATTTACTATTTAAATCTTATGAATTGAAAGTTCTCCCAGGAAATTAGAAAACAAACTACAACAGATACACTGAAAAATTTACATGTAAAAGAGAAAAGGCACACGCTCTACATATACATCTGAAAGTTAACATAAAGGCACAACAACTGGACACCCACCAAGTTAGGTCGCTTGTAAATGAGAACTTTATCAGGTTTTCTCTGTACCCTTGCCAGTGCTCCTTCTAGGAGGGACATGTATTCCACTTTCCTTTTCGGTTCTACTCCAAAACTTGCTGTTGCAATAAGTTTGGGCTAAAATAAAGAAGTTAGGTTATTAATAAATACATTTGCAATATATTTTATGTGTGTAACTTAACAACACGTTTTCCATTAAATCCTTTGATTCATGATGCTCAATTTACAAAGTCTATCTTTGCATAATTAAAGCCAGGGGTTTAGATCAGTTTTCTGAGGAAATCAAGACCTGATCTTGCTGTCCTTGCACCTGTTTTTTGTTCAGGAGCACACTAATAACTTCTGACACTCTTGACCATTTTCAATGAAATTTGAGTGGGAAATCAACAGTACTAAGTTGCACAAAAATTAATGAACAGAGTTAGAAAAACCCATCTGCATTTTAGCCTCTTCATTAAGGAAAAGTGGCACAGTGAAGTCAACAATTATCTGTCCTGTTTAGCCTGTTTTCTAATTATCTGCCTGCACCGAATGGCATATTTCAAAACTAGCGGTAGCAGTTTGCTGGCTCTTTTCCAGTCTGCAATTAAATGGCACGGGAGGGAAAACAGAAGAAAGAGGAAAAATAAGGCAAGCAAGAGATGACAGGAAACTAGAAATTCAGAAAGAGGATAAACCAAAGTAAGAAGGCAGACGAGGGGAGTGAAGCCAGTGATGGTTGCAGGATTCAGGATGCAAACACACTAGAAATCAGATTTCCACAGTTGTAGTTTTTTTTCAGAATAATTTCTATTTCCAAATACGTATTTAGCACCTTTGTCATTAAATTAATCTCAGGTTTTATGTAAGATTTCCCAAGTCAGAGAGTTGCATACGAACTACTCTGACTTAGATCTCAACATCATTATTTTCATCTCTTGTATTTCAGGAAATAAAAAGTATCACCAAATAAACTATGCATTAGAACACATTTTAACTGCAGAAGAATGAGTCTTTAATCTCCCTGATTTTGGAGTTTTAGAAGTATATTTATCTTATGCCCCTCAATTTGTTCAAGGCAGTTTACTAATTGCATGCATTAGCATAAATCCCATTAAGTAAGCACAAACTACAATGCCACAGTTAAGGCTGCATTAAACTCAGCACAAAAAGCACAGATTAAATTGTTTTCTTGTGCAATAATAAAATGTCTTCTGTCCAAATCTGCCATTCAGGGAAGTTTGCTAATTAGCATGTATTCAAAATAAAGATTGCACATGAGCTTTAAAATTTCAGCATTTCTCATCTTTCTTTTTAGGGATGCACTGATTGTAATAAAAAATGATACAATATAATGCAGTTAGACTGAAAATTCTTCTGTAGGCTACCCTGAAATTAGACTGTAATTAATGTAAGATATTAACACAGTTCTATTCAATTGTTAAGATGAAAGACTGTTGTCAACAACAGGCTTACAGTCATTTGTAAATGGTGCCACCTCTGCTTACCAACTGCTTTTGTATGCAGTAAGGAAGTCTAAAAATAACCAACACTAAGTGGGCTAAGGTGGCGTATTCCCCAAGTGAGGGTTGCTACCTGGAAGCATCATGGATCACTCTGCAAATCAAAGGCCCATTACTGGCTTTAATTGCTGTTTTCTAGTGTTTCACCTCTCTGCATCTCTGCTCCTTGCTTTTACACACCCATTTCCCACCTCTTCTGTGGCTCCATGTAGTCCCACACGATAAGATTAGATAGAAATATAATTAGTTTGAAGGAAACCAGGGGAAGTTCAAAGGTTTGCTGGAAAAGGAATGCCAGCAATAGTGAGCTGTAGAGAAAAAAAAAAAAAAAAAAAAAAAAATGAAGTAGAGATGAGATAAAGTAAGGCCCATCACTACCAGACCAACAATTTTATTCTGTTGTATGAACCCCTCCTACAAATTCTTCGATAGCATCTAATAGCATACAAGACAAATTTAGAAAAAGCAATAAATATATTTTATTGGGCCAGCTAATAAAGTTGCAAAAAGTCCAAATTGAAAGTCATGTTAGTTTCTCAAAATATAGCTAATGAATTCAGAAGCCTCCTGGAATGCACCAAGGTTAACTTCTTATGCCAAGTAATGGAAAGCCCTACCAAAGGGGATGCAATACTGAACCTGTTATTCACCAGTGCAAGTGAGCTAACTGGTGAGGTCAAGACTGGAGGCAGCCTGGGCACTGGTGGAGTTCAGAGTCCTGAAGGACATGGGTCAGGCAGAGTGAAATCAGGACCCTGAATCTTAGGAAAGCAAACTTCCATCTGTTCGAGTTAGTCAATAGGACCCCCTGGGAAACTGCCCTCAGGGACAAGGGAGCAGAACAGAGCTGACATATCTTTAAGAACCCTTTCCATAGACTGCAAGAGCTCCCAGTCCCCAAGTGTAAGAAATCAGGCAAGGAAGGCAGGAGACCAGCACGGCTGAGTCAAGACCTGTTGGTGAAGCCAAAAGGCAAGAAGGAAATGCACAGTCAGTGGAAGCAGGGACGGCTGCCCTAGGAAGAGTACAGGCATGCTGCACAGTTGTGTAGGGGTCAGGAAGACCCTGAGCAACCTGACCTAGCTGAAGATCTCACTCCTCATCACAGGAGGGTTGGACTAGATGACCTTTAAAGGTCCCTTTCAACCCAAACTATTCTAGGATTCTATGAAAGTATCTATTAGTTTCTATTGCAAACTACATATTCCCAGATTCAGGTGACAGATGACAAGAAATGCCAGTTCTCATCCTCTGTATTACTGCATCACAATGCACCACAGAATGTCTGTCACTGCCAATACCTGACAAGAGTGAAATAATCAGCTGCAGGAGTTTGCAGCATTCCCAGACCTATTTAAAATTCAAGATAAAGTAAGCTAAGCTGGTAAAGTATATGTACCTTTTCATAGTCACTAGAAAGTGCTTTTTATTTCTTTCACTTAGATCTTCCAATAAAATGTGAAGTTTGACCTTTCTTCCACAACAGCATTTCACAGCCAGCTTTCCACTGCACATCTTTAACTCTCTCTAATTAATTAATGAATTAAAGTTATCAGCATTAGGTCCTGTACTGCAGAATTTAAACCAATGCACATAAGAGCCTGACAGAAAGGTTAGGTGTTTTTTGAGATTGCTTCAAGTAACTTCTGAGCTCAGCAGAATATCATCACAGCTACTTATATACCTATCTTAAAGATAATCTCAGCAGTGTGCAATTCATTCCTCAAGAAAGCTTTACCATGTTGCAAAATCTGGGCATGTTCTGCAATTTAGATTGAGGATGTGCCTCTCCTCTTCACTTACACTTTCATTATGCATCAGATGGATCAAAAATGACCCACAATATTTAGATCTGCCTTTTAAAGACACAAAAAGTTAATGAAAATTAGGATTTAATCCATGGCCTGCAGCTAGCAACTCTAGAGCTAACTCTTCAAAGGACTTGCTGTGTGACCCAAGGTGAATCCCGTAAACTTCCTCTGTTTCCTTTTTAACGCATTAAGCAAAGAATACGATTACTGTGCTGTCTCTCTTTGTTACTCAGAGATAATCCACTGGGATAGTTAATATTTACAAAATACTCTTAAAAGTAAACATGCTAGATGATTTGTATTATAGAAGTCTTCACTTGAAAAGTTTATAACTTTTTCCCTAATTCTCTAACTTAAAATTATTTTTTATAGGATGTTAAAAAAGTAAGAGGCATAAAGACAGGGAAAACTATGGAGCTGTTGTTAGTCTTCCCTCAGCTTTCTTTCACAATTACAACAAAACATTTCAGCCATTTTATTAACCACTTCTTTGTTAAAACATCAAGGTGGGGAGGGGGGACACATGCAACTTTTTATTTACAGATATTCACAAAAGTCACACTGTGGTGACCTGAAAATCACTTCTGTTCCCAAAACTCTAAGCTCCACAAATCCTGTGGACTTCACCCTGCATAATGTTTTGGCTTATACATCTAACCAGCGTGGTTCACTGATAGGTGGCTATCACAGATGGTCTGATCCAGGTGACTGATCAAGATGACAAAGACTTTTGTCTTGTTCACTGGTTGAAAAAAAGAACAGAAACTTCCAGTAACAACCACTGTTAGCTGTCTTGAAACTAATGCACAAGCAAGCTACTAATATGCACACATAAGCTACTAAGCAGATTATTAAAGTACAATTTGCATTTTCAGTCACAAAGACTTACATAATGCTTCATACACAAGCTCAGCTTGTGCTGAACTTGATAACTTGTGCTGAACTTTGAAGCCTTCAAAGCATTCGACTCTCAATTATGTTCTCTGCAGAGTCACTTACAAAAGGCAATTGGTTCCCCAGCTGCCTTGATTCATGTAGAAATTAGATGAAGTAGATTTATAGCTCACAAAATGTACTACCTAATGTGTCTAAACATCAAGTAAGCCAATTAAGTCATTTAGAGTTGGCAACATTTTCCTCAAACACTTGAGGAAAATGCTGGGCAAAAAGCCCACTTTAAGGTGATGCTTTGTAGAAAGACTGACAAATGGGAGAAAAAAGTAAGAAAGTATGCTCTAAATAGCATGTGTTAAACATGCTTTTTTTAGAGAGGTCAAAATTTGTATCTCAACATCTGCTGTAAAAGTATCAACCTCAGTACTTTTTCATATTGCAATGCTAAGTATAAACAAATTGAGACTGCATACCACACAGAGAAATGTTGCTATCCTCTCTGGGAAAAAAAAAAAAAAAGAAAAAAAAGAAACAAAACCCAAACAAACAACAAAAAACAGAGTTTTGACATTGACTTATATGAGGAAATAATGCAGTGGGTTTTGTTGTTCCCAATGCATATTACCTTTGCATGATCAATGCGAACAGAAAGCTCTTTAGATGCAAATCCACCAAAAATCAGACTATGGATGGCTCCTATTCTTGCACAAGCCAGCATACAGTACACTGTCTGTGGAATCATGGGCATGTAGATGACCACACGATCTCCTCTCTTCACGCCATGTCTGACCATGACATCAGCTAACTTGGAGACCTGTAGTGACAAAACATTCACAACACATTACAAGTTTCTCCAGATTTGCTGTTGCCCCATGAAAAGGAATTTTCCCACAATCAACAGACACAGGACATTAAGGAGACAAGGCAGTATGATATGGGAAGTTGATGAACAATGCAATCCAGGTTCAATAACTTTATGACAATTTCCTTGTTGAAAAAAGCACTGTAATAAATTTTTTCTTTTGTAAAATGTAAATGGACTGAAGCTAATTATTTTACATTTTAGAGGGAATAAAACCAAAAAACAACAGTTTTGTAAATTCTAAAATGACACTGTAACCACTCATTCTTTTATCCAGATAACTGCTTATATTTCTGTATTTTAGCTTTTAAAAATGGATGTAAACAGGGCATTTCATAATTCAAATTATCCCCTAACCAGCTAAGTTCAAAACACAAATGAATATGTAATAATATTTTCTCTACTACAGTGTTGTAAACTTCTCAGAATCTGCAACAAGAAATTTTACACCCTGATCCAAACGTAAATACAAATTCAGAGAAATGCATTTAGATTTAAGTCTTTTTTCATCTCATTTTCAGATTTCCATTTTTGATATGCTGAAGCCTGAAGACAGACTATGCATGGCAGCAAAACACTGAAACTCAAGAAATGTGACACATCAGCAGCTATGTCAGCTATCTCTACCACCATAAGAAAATATTTATTACCTCAACGGCATACAGTGTTCTGTCACAAAACTAATATTTAATTTTTCATTAGTACACCAGCACAAACAATTTACCACATAGTGAGTTCTGTTAAGAGTAATAACCATGGGAGCCTGTGACAAGCCCTGTGCACTTGTTGTGACCTGCTTGCTGTGGCATGGAAAGGTGGCACCTTCTGAAGGAAAAGAAAATTGCTAATTCCCCAAGAGCAACTGAATGAACTCAGCTGTCAGAGGTTCCTCGATTTGCAGAGGCTGACAGCTGTGTTACACTATCTAAACCTGCTGACTGCCTTTAAACTTTTCAGTAAGACATCAGTAGTCTAGAGGTAGAGATGTATAAGTAATAGACGTAAAATAACATGTAACTGTGCACAAAACCCAGGATAACCAGTTAATAGGAAAAGCTGTAGACCAAGAAGAAACAAAGTAGACTAATAAGGTAATAGAGTGGAAGTAGAAATATCCCAGGAAGTCATGAGCTGGAATACTCCATTAGCATGGTTACAGTCAGACATAACAAGAACAGGACTTTTGCTTGCAGTAGTATTACATTAGTGGTAAGACTGAAAAGTTAAATTCTCTAGGAAGTTCTTGGGTATCTGAAGACATATCAATTTAAGTTCAGAACAAAGGGCTTGCTCTGTCTTAAAGAGGTACTCTTCTTGCCTGCAGTAGTAAAACTCTTTAAGAGGTTGCCACTCGCTAAAAAAAGACTACAATAAACATTCTAATGTATTTCACTATCAGTGTAACAAGAATCTATATATGAATTCCTCACATCTTACCTTTACTGCATTATTCCTTATTAAGTCATTATATTACATAGACAAGTTTTGAAGTAAAATTTAGTCTCATGAAAGACTCTTTTCTTCAAGTCCTACCAGACTGCAGAGAAAAGAAAGGGGAAACAAACTCCCGAGAGCAGCAGGGGGATGTTGCCTGTAGAACAGAAAACACCCAAGTTTCTAAATCAGTAAGAGATGTTTTCAGGGTGCGCACGCTGTAGGGATTCAGTTATTGGAAGGGCTCCCTGACTCTTCTTCACAAGTGGAGTTCCCAGGATGACTGGGCCAGAACATGAAGCTGTCTCTGAGTCCCTGCTATATGACTGAGCTCATTGCCTGGCTGCCACCATTGCCCATGGCTTGGCTCCTCAGCTGGTTCACTCCATTCCTCACGTCCACTGTGGCCGGTGAGTGGTGCATTGACTTGTTCCTCCCTCTGGCTGTCTGGCACTTTGGATCTCTGGTGTGTGGTGTGGGAGTGGAGGGAGGAGTTTGGCTGCTGGTCTGCCTGTTAATGATAATATCATTCTGTATTGTGCAAGTGGTCAGCAGAAGAGTGACCCAGCAAATAATGCAAGCAATGGGGGCAGCCTAGGCCAGTAATACATACTGTGCCAGTAGGACGGGAAGGAAGGACCCTCTTTTTCAAGGATGAGCTGGTCAGAAGGGTAGACTTGCTTTGAACTGTTTTAGTTCCATTTATATTATTCATCAAACTTGAGCTTTAAAGAGTTAACCTTACTCCCACTTAGTATTTCAAATTCTAGTACCACTGGTACATTCCAAAATATGTAGGCATTAGGCTCTTTCTTTTATGTTCCTATTCAAGAAAATTTGGGACAACTACATCCAATCCTAGAAGCCCATCTGATACATGTACTGAGGAGGTTAATACAACATTACTCATTGCTTCTCTCTTCAGTGGAAACACATGCTCATCATTCAGCAACCTGAGACAGTAACATCCAGAAGTTCCAGATGCATCTGATCTGTGTTTACATTAAATATACAGCTCATCCACAAACTATGCATATTTCTACACTTCTGCCTGAGGATTTAAGCAAAAGGAAACACAGGAGCCCCAAAGATGCATGCCTGCATCAGAAGATAACAGCATAGCTTCCACTTTTTATAAACACTGCATAAATCCCTGCTGTTACTTTTAACCACAAGAGAGAATATGTTTATACTGCGAAGTCATCTCCATAAAAAGCTGAAACCTCACAAACCATGATTTCTTTGAAAGAGACTTCTTCTGTAAAATGTTACTTATTATCAAAAGAAAATATCTTTAATTCTAGACCGACTACTTATCAATACTCTAGGAAACTGATGTAATGTTATCAAAACCCAACAAAAATCAGCAAGCCCTGGACATGTAGACAATCAGATTTTATGGCCATACCACCAGCATCTACAGTCATTTCTAGATGGGATTGGTGAAAGGAATTGTAAGTAAGGGAACAACCCTTAATTCCAAAGGTAAACTCCTTCTCTACACTTCTTACTGTGAAACCATTAAAATCTGCTAACTTGTAACCCAATGTTAGTATCACCTTATCTCAAAGAACTGAGAAAACTAATCCTCACCTTTGCCGCTTGTGAGACTCTCAAGCAACTTATTGACAAAAAGGCCAGAGACAATGAAAACAATATTTAATGAGTATTTTTACAGACAGTGTAAGTGTGAATAGTAGGCAGTAAGTAGTTAAACACAATGGGTGAGTATTATTGCTCATTATTATCACTTTAGAACTATTAATGATTATGAAAAATGCAATGTTTGCCTGCTAAAAGGAAAAGACATAATTTAAAGATCATAATTTGTAATTCTGTGATAGAGGATTCCCAGTGCCTATATACAAGCTGGATGACTTTGGTACTTGGCTGTAGGAGGGAGAGATCTGTACATACTTAAGTCACTTTTGTTGAAACCTACCATAGGAAAACTGTACTTAAAGCAGAACATATGGAGCATGCTGCAGACAGGAATCACATCTTCCATACAAACCCAGTAATCTGTCTGCACTTACCTTCCCCACCCTGGCGAACTGGATGTCACTTAAGACAATAACCCTGTACAATACACGTCTATCTATGATTTTCTTTGTGCCCTTTTCCTCATCTTCATCCACAGCCAGGGAACATTTGGAATACATAATAAAATACTGTCTCTACCTGCAACTATTTGGAAGACTAGCGAACAACAGACAGAAGGTTTATATTGCCCTTAAGATTGATGTGGAAACCCTGAAACAGCCAAGCAATTACTCTTTTTAAAAAAAAAAAAAAAAAAAAAAAAAAAAAGGAGAGGGGGGAGAGTGAGTAGTGACATTTCATTAAACTGTTAAAAGCCAGGGAAGTGTCCACTTTGTTACAGTGTTGTCATTTATCATTTACATTAAGACAGCATACTTTATCACTCAAGATTTTGCAGTGCTATTTTCCTACTAGCATGCTATTTCTCCACTTTTCCTCACGTTTAAGATTCCACTTTAATATATTTGACACTTCAGTAATAAAATCACTTGAGACCAAGCGATATAATAAGAAACTCAAGCAGCCTTTCAGCTTTGAAGATCTGGGTTTAAATTACACTTCAATCAAATGCAAGCCCCTAGTGAGCATGACTTTATTTTAAACCAGCCACCAAACAAATACTGTATCTGTATCAGCAGTTCAGGTTTGGAGAAGTACTGCAGTTCTGAAGTACCTGGATGTCCCCAGCAGTTACAAAAAGCAGTTTAGGTTCATGCTAAAAACAGAAACTCCACTCAAAATACTCAAAAAAGACATTTCAAACCTTCGTGGGTTTAATAATGACTTGGTTTCACTAGTGTCAAGTCTTTCAATGTAAGCTAAACACAAAAGGATTCTACAAATAACAAGAGCTCCTGAAACATCCTGAAGTGCATCTCATGGTGTAAGAAGAGCCATGTCACACACACATTCCCCTAAACCAAAGGAAGCAAGTTGCCTTATGCTCTTCAGCTTCTCCACTGTGTCGTTTTTCCAAGACTACTAAACAAAGTACTCCTTTCTACTCCTCTCTATCCCTGCATCAGGCTCTTCACTGTTCTATTACTCTTCTTAATTACTTCCTCCTTTTCCTACTGCTGCAGAAGTTTCTCCAGTAGATGCACCACCCTGCTGCTTAACGTCAAGCCTGCTGCCAAGTAGGAGAGGACTGACAAATGGTGCTGTGTTCATTTCACATAGATGAAAACCATATTCTTGATGAGGTGACAAAACCATGCTTCAGAGGTGGCACAGCATGTGTGCCCCTACCAGAGTTCTTGACCAAATCTCCAGGGGAAGGGAAAGCATTCCACCAAGGGCACTGCTCATCCACAGACATCCAAGGACATCCACACCCTTGGTCCCAGGACTAGAGCAGACTCACCAAGTTCACTGATGACACCAGTCTCTGTGGGATGGTCAACATGCTGGAGGGGGAGGAAACTTGACATGCTTGAGAGGTCAGCCCATGCCAATTTCATAAAGTTCAGCAAGGCCAAGTGCAAGTTCCTGCACATGGGACAGGGCAATCCCAAGCACAAAAGTAGGCTGAGCAATGAATGGATTGAGAGCAGATCTGACAAGAACTTGGGTCTATTGGTGTAAAAAGCAGGACATGAGCCAGCAACGTCTCATTTGTCTGGCCTCACAGCCCAGAAAGCCAATCATATCCTGGGCTGCATCAAAAGGAGTGTGGTCAGCAAGTCAAGGGAGGTGACTCTCACCCTCTCTACTCCACTCTCATGAGACCTCACCTGGAGTACTGCATGCAGCTCTGGCATACCCAACACAAGAAGGACATGGACCTGTGCCACAGTTTGGGGCCAGGGCCACCCTCAGAACCATAACAGACACTCTCTTGTTAACACCCTCCCCCAGCCCTGAAAGGGAAAGACAAAGGGAATAAGGGAGAGAGATTTATCAATTAGAAAAGAAAACAGCTTTAATACTACCACTAATAATAATAGTAATATTGATAATAAAATGGAATATGTACAAATGTATACAAAACCAGCATGGAACCTAACTCCCCCCGATGGCAATACTTCACCGTCACCCCCAGCTGGGGAGCAG